GATCCTCCCGGACCGGGGCACGAACCCGCGTCCCCTGCATCGGCAGGCGGACTCCCAACCACTGCGCCACCAGGAAAGCCCTTCACTTTTTAATATTTAACCATACTGAGAAGTGCACAGAATAATTTTTAAAAGACCCGTGCATTCACCACCCAGATCTAACAAATCTTGGCTTTGACTTTTTGATAGAATTTTTTTTTCCCTTAAAACAAAATTCTGTATTCAAAGCGTCATATGTACCTCTGCACCCTTCCTCTCCTGAATTTGGGGTTTTTGTTTTGCGGTACGCGGGCCTCTCACTGTTGTGGCCTCTCCCGTTGCGGAGCACAGGCTCTGGACGCGCAGGCTCAGCGGCCATGGCTCACGGGCCCAGCCACTCCGCGGCATGTGGGATCTTCCCCGACCGGGGCACGAACCCGCGTCCACTGCATCGGCAGGCGGACTCTCAACCACTGCGCCACCAGGGAAGCCCCGAATTTGGTATTTTTCATGCCTGGGCTTGTTTTATACTATCTTATATCTATAAATCCATATAGTAGTGTGGTTTTGCATATTTTATAAGTGTCCTAAAATTGGAATTAATAATGGAGGTTGTTCTGTAACTGATAAAATTTTTGAGGAAATCTACCGTGTTGGGGTTCTTAGAAGAGAGTGTATGGTTACATCTTGACCAGAGGTTTTGCTTCACTTTCTCCTCCATTTTGAGTTCTCTCATTCTTGTACTTCTGTTAATCAAGTATTCTAGCTTGAGCTTTTAATATTATTATTATTTTTTAACTGTCTTTTGTTTTCTGAAAAAGTTACTCAGGTTTATCTTCCAGTCCTTCTATTAAAGCATTTATTTTGGCTGTAAATTTTCTTTTCTAAGAGCTCTTTCTTGTTTTCTGATTTGATCTTTTTTTCTTTGGCATTCTTTTAAGTTTGGATTCGTTTATTTATTTACTTATTTCTGTTTCTTGCATTGTATTCCTTTCTTTTCTCTGAGTTTCTTCTCTTTGTCTGCTTTGGTCTCTTTCTGTCATGTTGGAGGCTTTTCTTGAATGTCAGTTGTTCTTTGGCTATTTGTTCATTTTGAGGAGAGACCCCCAGAAAACTGATTGGAAGCTCTTTATGAATGACTGAACCTTACCAACCAATGGACTTTTACTGTTAGATGTACAGGCAGAGACCCAGACATTTTCTTGAGAGTCAGAGCTGTCAGTATTTATAGATCTTTCCTCTTGAGCTGGTTTTCTCTAGGGAACAAACCTGTAATTTCCTGCCTTGAGGCATAGAGAATGTATGTAAACCAGAATATTGCGTTCTGGATTTGTGCAACTGGGGAGAAGGGTTGGAAGTGTCTCACACTTGTGAAAGTTTGTAGACTTTCACTTAACTCTTTGTTTTCACTGCTGGTCTTAAGTCTGTCTGGTTCAAACCTCCAGTTGTCTGCAGCATAGGTGGAGGGGTTTTTTAATTGTTTGCCTGAGGGACAGATTAACTACTTTCACAGGCTTTCCATCTCCGTCTTTCAAGGCTGTCTTCTTTGGTACGTGGTTTTTACAGTACCCTCAGTGGAAATTAGCTTGCTTCTCAACAGCACACAGTCCTACCAGTTATCAGTCAGAAAACTGATTTGTGTGTCTCATACTCTGTTTGCCTTGTACTTGTGGATCCACTACTTTCAGTAGTTCAGTCCTCTTATTTTATCGACCGATTTATTTATTTATTTATTTCTGGCTGCGTTGAGTCTTCATTCCTGTGCGCCGGCTTTTCTCTAGCTGCAGCGAGCGGTGTCTACTCTTGGTTGCGGTGTGCGGGCTTCTCATCATCGTGGCTTCTCTTGTTGCAGAGCACAGGCTCTAGGCACACGAGCTTCAGTAGTTGCGGCATGTGAGCCCTAGAGTGCATGGGCTTCAGTAGTTGCAGCACACAGGCTTCAGTACTTGTGGCTTGCGGCCTCTAGAGCACAGGCTCAGTGGTTGTGGCGCATGGGCTTAGTTGCTCTGCAGCATGTGGGATCTTCCTGGACCAGGGATCGAACCTGTGTCTCCTGCGTTAGCAGGCGTATTTTTAACCACTGTGCCACCAGGGAAGTCCCTAGATCTATTTTAAAGGTTAGCGCTGTGATCACATGACTTCATGTTTTCAAAGGGCAAACAGGAAAACTGGTTATAAGTACTTATTATGGGGAAAAAAAGTCGAACAAAATCATCTCTTTAAGTTTCTCAGTTTTGCCAAGAATGATCTTAAACAGAAATATTAAAGAACAGATATGATTAGATAAAACATGTCTTATAGCTGATACATTTTACTAATACTTACAAATGTTGTTTCTTCAGTGATGGCTCATGAAGCAATGAAATATGATCTTCAGGTGCAGTTAGATCATGGTGCTGCAGAACAGCCTGCTCCTCCTGAAGTGGTCAGCGGCCAAGGGGGACCACCCCTGCTCCAGCCTTCTCATACTGAAGTGGTCAGCAGCCAGGAAGGACCACCCCTGTTTGAGCCTGCACCTGCTGCAGTGGTCAGCAGCCAAGGGGGACCAGCCCTGCTCCAGCCCCCTCCTGATGAAGTGCTCAGCAGCCAAGAGGGACTGCCCCTGCTTCAGGCTGCTCCACAGGTATCCATTGATATGACAGAGGAGCTCTCAGGAGAAGAGACTGTGGAGAACATCAATCCAGGAGTTTCAGAGGAGAGTAGGCAGGAATCTGGTGCTAACCACACTGCCCAAGTATCTTCATTGGATTCAGTGAACAGCTTCATCAGTGGGCTGCAGAGACTTCATGGCATTCTGGAATTCCTGAGACCAACTTCGGACCACAGGGTGGGGCCGGTGAGAGCTAGGATTAGGAGGAGTTCTGCTTCACAGAGGGCAAGAGCTGGAGGGTCTCACAGGACAAACAGGACAAACAGGTAAATATATGTATAAACAGTAGGATTCGTGCCAGATTGGGAATTATGAACCTTAGGCTCTGATCGTAGCCCCAGTGCTGCCGAGAATTGGCATTGTGACTTGGCAAGTCAGGTGACCTTTCTGAACCCCCCGTTACCTCATAAGTCAGATGAAAATAAAAGTGCTTGCCTTATTTACTTCACAAAGTAATGGAGGGGACAAGTTACACTGATATGTTTTGAAAGCTCGATGGTAGTTTGTTGGCAGCGGTTTCTGTAGAGGCTGGCTTTTCTTTAGATCGTTTTTCTCTTGTACATCAAAAAAACATTTAACTTGCAAGGCCGCTCCACTCGCCCATGTTTCACTGTTCTCCACTTAGTGGTACAGTAGATTTCGGAAGATGGGCAGGCTGGATTTAGAGAAGCCTTGTGAAAAGTAGAATGTGAATTTAGAGCTTATCTGACTAAGTGAGAAACACTCTAGCCCTCCTCACCTGATACTGTGTTGTCGAGTTAAAAATAATTTTCTTCCACAGCTTTTGGTTTGAATTTGCCTCTTGAAGGGCGTAGCTGTCAAGTCTTGACAGTTATTATGAAGAATAACAATTATCTATGCCTTACCTGTTTTTTCACTTCCTCCAGCTTTTTTTGAAATACTTTGTTTCACATTTGGGCTTCTAAGTATCTTCATAATGTTGAAAGAGATTGAATTCAACCTTTTCATTTTAAATATGAAGGAAACTTGGACCCTGAGAGAGTGGTTTGTTCAGGGTCTCATAGCGACGGCCCTGAGGAGGTTAGAGCTGGTGTTGGAACCTGAATCTGACTGTTGTCAACAAAAACAGATAGAGGAAGCTTCAGTCAGACCCATTTGTTTTCTAACACTGTGAAAATAATGAGATGACAATAAAAAGTGGTAGCTGGGCCATCTAATACCTATGTTTTACAAGTGAGGAAGATGATGGGGTGATTTGTGATTTGACTGGGATAACTGGAACTGGACTTTGCCTTCTGATTCTGGATTTCAGCATCCTTTTCCATGGATCCTGCTGATTACTGTGTCAGGGTCTGCTATTACTGTGGCTTCAGTCTCTGTAATGCCTGGTCACTGCTGGATGTGATCCATCAAGGGTGAGAGGTGCCTAGTTCTGTGTTGACAAGAGTTGCAAATGTATGCTACTCTGTTATTTTAAGATGCCGTTTACTCGGATTTTGAAAGCAAAGTAGGATTTCATACATTTGTGTCAGGTGAAGGTACCTTGTAGTGCAATTTGGGGACCCTGTTGAAGTAAGGGGGCTTAGAGTTGAGAGTGGTGTCCCCAAGAACTGTCAAGAGGCCTCTTGCAATAGTCCTCATGCTTGGTTGTTCATCCACTCATGAGCAGGTGGGGGTGGAGATTGCTCTTGGTCGGGGACTTTTTTGTTAACCAGTTCACAGGAGAGTGACACTTATAAACCAGATGCCAATTTACAGAGAAAATTAGAAACAACACAGAGACCAAATTCTCTTGTTGGCATGGTCAGCATGATTCACCTAGGGGATGCTGCCACACAGAAGCCAGACTGTAATCAGAAAATAGCTTGATGTGTGTAGAATCTCTGCTCAGGGACTTAGCTACAGAATTTAGATGTTAAATGATGTCAGTTAAGCTATTTGACTGACGGTCATATGTTTGTCTCCACAAAGAGAATAAACCTTAAAGGCAAGGAATTACGCAGTTCAGTGGAGAGAACATGGATTCTGGAGCCAGATAAATGTGGCGTTGAAATTTTTTTCCTTTAAATTGTGTTGTAAACAAATTCCACACTAAATTCACATAAAAGTCTGAACTTTTACAGGACTCATTGCTTATACCTTCTGAATTTCTTGAGGTGAATTTCTCATTATGGTGTTTGACATTACTCACCTGACAGACCATTCCTGGGCCAGGTGCTGAGAGCCTGGGCCAAGGTGAGCAGCTTTTGCCTCAGACTCCACCAAGAAGCCAAAATTGGGGAAACCTGCATAGTGGGATATTTTTCCCAACTACTTCTCAGCCAAGGTCACAAACTCCTTTCCTGTTTCTTTGTTTGAGGCTGCTTGATTCTGACAGCCAGCGTCATCACTTATTCATCAAATATTTGTAACACTCCACTATGTGAGAGACTGGACTTCTGTCTTGAAGATACATTGGTGAACAGGACAGATCAGGGTACCGTTTCTCTTGGAGCTTATGGAATCTAGGACTACAGAGGGTAAGCAAGGGGCAAGAACTTACTATACTGTTATTTAATTCAGAGATGATAAGTGCAGGAAAAAAGGAGAATTTCTTGGGTTCCAAGACTGTACTCCTAGAACTGCCTCCCAGTTGCTCTTCATAGTTCCTCTTTTATATGTCCCTGCCTGACCTTGGAAATGCCTATTTTGCTATGTAAAAGCAATATTAATGAGTGATTTTTAAAAAAATAGTCAATCACTTAATTTTTTACTGGTTTCTATGCAGAGTGCTCTTGATATGCACGTAATAGCCTAACTTTATTATGTATTTCATTTGGTTAAAATGTTCTTAGGAAATACTGTTCTTATATTCTTATTCTCATGAGTAGCTATAGCTGCTGTTCATGCACAGTTCCTAAAATAAGTTTGTAAACTTGGTTAGCATTTTTTTTTTGAAAAGGAAACCTGAGTGACATCAGTGAAAACGGCAGAGTAAGGACCTCAGAAAATTCTCTCCATAAAATCATTGAAACAGGGCTTCCCTGGTGGCGCAGTGCTTGGGAGTCTGCCTGCCAATGCAGGGGACATGGGTTCGAGCCCTGGTCTGGGAAGATCCCACATGCCATGGAGCAACTAAGCCCGTGTGCCACAGCTACTGAGCCTGCGCGTTCTGCAATGGGAGAGGCCGCGACAGTGAGAGGCCCGCGCACCACGATGAAGAGTGGCCCCCGCTCGCCGCAACTGGAGAAAGCCCTCGCACAGAAATGAAGACCCAACACAGCCAAAAATAAATAAATAAATAAATAAATTTTTTTTAAGAATAATTGAAACAACTGGCAAAATTTATCAAATTCAACTTTTCAGTACTCTGGAAATTAACCAAATACTTGTAGCAATTCAGTGAGTGATTCTCAAAGAAAACCAGCTGAATCTCAGTAAGAACTGTGAGCTTTGTGGCATTCCCTATTCCCATCCCCCTCTTCAGCTTCATAGTAGTCTTTTTTTAAAAAATATTTATTTATTTATTTGGCTGCGTAGGGTCTTAGTTGCAGCATGTGGGATCTTTCATTGTGGCACGCGGGCTTCGTTGCCCCACAGCATGTGGGATCTTAGTTCCCCGACCAGGGATCGAACCCATGCTCCCTGCATTAGAAGGCTGATTCTTAACCACTACTATGGAGGGACTTACTATGAAGTCCCTCCATAGTAGTCTTGAAAACTAAATGCCTGCAATCACAGTGAAAAGGCAGCAGCCTGGAAGCAACTAGAGAGAGTAGAATGGAATTGGGGGTCCTTAAAAGCCTCATCCCCAGAGAATTCTCTTTCTTTGACCTGTTTGTTGGTTTCTTGGAAGATCCCACTTGAAAGGCAATCCCTGGCTTGTCCAGTTTGAAAATTCTAAAGCCTTTTCCCCAGGGTCTGCCTATGGCAGTAGATGACCATTGGGGCAAACATTAGACTAAACAAAAAGCTTAAAAGGAAAAGGTGGAGAATCAGATCTTCCTATGGGGTTTTGAAAAGTTCTGACATATTCCTGGGAATCTAGAAGGCCACATACATGCCCAGGGCTGTGTGCAGCTGGGCCCACAATCAGGAAAGACCTAGGAAGGCACTAAGCTCTCAACTCTGACTGACCTTGAGGCTCTGCATAAGCAGGAAATGAAGGCTAAGGCAGAGTTGTCACCTGCCTGGCTGATTATTGATGATGTGTCCCAACACACACATCAAGTCTCTCAGCAAAGACTGGGAGGTATACTGATTCCAAGTGTTTAAGGAAATCTTTATCTAGTTATGAACTGAACACTAAGGTAACCAAACAGAAACTTCAGTGGCCACACACAACAAAGAATGCAAACTTTATAGAATTAACTTCAGAAAAGTCACTAAACCAATAGTAACAACTATAAGAAATAGCAACAACAAAAAACCCTGGGAATGGGTGAAATCTCATTTCTAGAGTTACCACGTTATATTATTTGAAACGTCCAGTTTTCAAGAAAAAGTAAGATATGTAAAGAAAGTATAACCAATACACAGGAAGAAAAAACAGAAACTACATGAAGAAGCCAAGATGTTGGACTTACTAGACCAACTTTAAACCTGCTATTTAAATATATTCAAAGAACTAAAGCAAAGTATAAGACAACAAAATAGACAATATCAATAAAGAGACTGAAGTTATAAAAATGTACAAAATAGAAATACTGGAGTTGACACAGTAAATGGAAAAAAAATCACTAGAGAGCTCAACAGCAGGTTTGAGCAAGCAAAAGAGAGAACTTTTGTCCTTTGACATTTTTTACTTGAAAAGTGGCTCAAAATAAGAGGTGAGACAATGATGACCATAGCCAGGCTTCATACCTTCAAAAGACCTTGGTCTTAGTAGCTGCAGAAGCAGAATCCCATGAGGCCATATTTGATCAATAGGGCCCTTTTAGGGCTTCCCTGGTGGCGCAGTGGTTGAGAGTCCGCCTGCTGATGCAGGGGACGTGGGTTCGTGCCCTGGTCCGGGAGGATCCCACACGCCGCGGATCGGCTGGGCCCGTGGGCCATGGCCGCTGGGCCTGCGCGTCCGGAGCCTGTGCTCCGCAATGGGAGAGGCCACGGCAGTGAGAGGCTGGCATACCACAAAAACAATAGGGCCCTTTTTCACCTTGCCCACTCTCTTTTCAACCCCCTAATATCAGCAGACAAATTGCTGAGTCAGCCCTCCCTCCCTTCCTCCCTCCCTCCCTCCCTCTCTTTTTCCCTCCCTCCCTCCCTCCCTTCCTTTCTTTATATTAGTGAGTCATGTCTTTAAAAGGTATTGACAAAAGAAATGCCAGTAAAGTAGGATTAGCTTTTAGCAGAGGGGTCAGGCTTCAGTGTGGGCTAATGGAATACTTGAGTGGAAGGAGCATGTCTAGTCCAGTCAGCACCTGCCTGAATCTCTATTCCTACTTCAGTGTTCAAAGGCAGCATTTAATGGTCTGGTGATACATTAAAATGACTAGGATTTACCTCCAAATTACTGTGGATTATTCTTGTGATGATGGTACATTGTACAAGAATTCTGTTGTCTTTCTGCATATATAGGTTGAGAGCACCGTTGGAGGCTTACTTTCAAGTGAGCAGGACGCAGCCTCATTCGCCAGCCACCTCTTATGGTTCAGAGACTAGGAATCCTGTCTCTGAAGACTTGCAGGTATCAGATAGTTCTGACAGTGACAGCGCCACAGAGTATGAAGAGGGAGTTGTCCAGGCAGAGGAACCTGGAGCTGTTGTTTTAGAAGGTGAGTGTTTTATCCAGATTTGATTCACAAGGTCAACATCTGGAAAGCTTAAGACTCCAGAAGGCTAGAAACTCTAGACTTGTGTTTTGATACTTTGCCTTTTCACCCCAAATGTCATAGATTAATGCTTTATAGTACAGAGCTTTCAGTGGCCATAACTATATAGAGAGGATTTGATCTGGCTTGCAATTTACTGTGATTTGTGACCCATTGAGTTGGTCACTTTATAATGGCATTTTACATTCCATTTCGTTTTCTTAGACGTTTGAGAAAGAAGTAGATTATTTAAAAGAAAAGCTTCATTAATTCAGCACCCTGTCTAGTCCGGTACTTTTTAAGTCCTAGTGTAATGTTACGTGTTGTGCAAGTGGAACTGTATTTAACAGTAGATGCACAGAGACCTCTTAAGCATATGCTTGTATTAAAAAACTCTCTGGGGACTTCCCTGGTGGCACAGTGGATAAGAATCCGCCTGCCAATGCAGGGGACATGGATTCGATCCCTGGTCTGGGAGGATCCCACGTACTGCAGAGCAACTAAGCCCACGAGCCACAACTACTGAAGCCCACACGCCTAGAGCCCATGCTCTGCAACAAGAAAAGCCACCACAAGGAGAAGCCTGCGCACCACAATGAAGAGTAGCCCCCGGTCGCCACAACTAGAGAAAGCCCGTGCGCAGCAACAAAGACCCAACGCAGCCCAAAATAAATAAAATTAAATCTTTACCCAGAAGAAAAAAAAACACAAAAAACCTATCTGATACCTTACACTGTGGTCTTCTCACACTAAAGGGAACCAAGGCTTGGAGAAATGGCTTTCCAGGTCTGTGATAGGAAATATACAAGATGGGCCTAGGGCATTTTATTGTGCTGGAAAGCAAGGGAGCCGTCTGAGTCTTACAGAGTTACGGCAGTAGGCACAGGCGCAACCTTGAAAGAGATCCTACTGGCCTAAGTTGGGACAGTTTGAGCATTAAAAAGAATAATGAATGTATTCTTAGATTACAGATTGAAATACATCAAATCTGTGTGAATCTATAAATTCATAATTGTGCACTTTAAAAAAAAAAACCTTACTTATCACCATCATAAGTTATTAGAGCCCTAACTCATTGCTCTGAAAACTGTTGAATAAAGGATTAAGCATTTATCCTGCCTTTCCTATATGAACTGTATCCAGAAAACCGAATAGTTGATGGAGAAGGTCTTTTAAGTGTTTGTTTGTTTGTTTTTGTTTTTGTTTTTGCGGTACGCGGGCTTCTCACTGTTGTGGCCTCTCCCGTTGCGGAGCACAGGCTCCGGACGCACAGGCTCAGCGGCCATGGCTCACAGGCCCAGCCGCTCCTCGGCATGTGGGATCTTCCTGGACCAGGGCACGAACCCGTGTCCCCTGTATCGGCAGGCAGACTCTCAACCACTGCACCACCAGGGAAGCCCTGTTTGTTTGTTTTTAAGACTTTATTTTTTTAAGAGTAGTTTATGGTTCACAACAAAACTGAAAGGAAGGTAGAGAGATCTCCCATATACACCTGCCCCCCTCCCTCCCCCACACATACATGCATTGCCTCCCTATTATTGGCATCATTCACCAGAATGGTGCATTAGTTACACACTGTAATCACTCAGAGTCTTTGGTTTACCTTGGGGTTTACTGTTGGTGTTGCACATTCTGTAAGTTTGGACAAATGTATAATGACATACATCCATCATTATAATATCATATACAGTGTTTCCAGTCCCCTAAAGATTCTCTGTGCTCTGCCTATTCTTCCCTTCCACCCACCCCCTAAGGAAGTTTTTTTTTGTTTGTTTTTTTCTTGCGTTATGCGGGCCTCTCACTGTCGCGGCCTCTCCCATTTGCGGAGCACAGGCTCCGGACGCGCAGGCTCAGCGGCTATGGCCAATGGGCCCAGCCGCTCCGCGGCATGCGGGACCCTCCCGAAACGGGGCACGAACCCGCGTCCCCTGCATCGGCAGGCGGACCCTCAAGCACTGCGCCACCAGGGAAGCCCGGAAGTTTTTTTTAATAGAAAAATTCCAGCTAGTAATTGTAGCATGAATGATAGGGGAAAAAAATTATCATTTTGTGACTCCTAATGAATTGATGTATCTAGTCAAAGATCATCAGTGACTCTTCAAACCATTAGGTTGGAAGGTTGGTGGGAGTCTTTTTAATAGAGGTACCAGGCTGACACCACCTGAACCCATTGATCAATCTTAGCATTGCAGAAAGTGAAACCACCAGATTTTATGTGCCTCTTGATGTGCTGCAATCAGAAATGTCCAGGGCTTCCCTGGTGGCGCAGTGGTTAACAGTCCACCTGCCAGTGCAGGGTACACGGGTTCAATCCCTGGTCCGGGAAGATCCCACATGCCGCAGAGCAACTAAGCCCGTGCTCCACAACTACTGAGCCTGCGCTCTAGAGCCCGTGTGCCATAACTACTGAAGCCCACACACCTAGAGCCTGTGCTCCGCAACAAGAGAAGCCACCGCAATGAGAAGCCCACGCACCACAGCGAAGGGCAGCCCCCACTCTCCACAACTAGAGAAAGCCTGTGTGCAGCGACAAAGACCCAACACAGCCAAAAATATATTTATTTATTTATTTTAAAAAAAAGAAAATGTCCATACCACCTAGCAAGTACTGTTGCCCCCCATAAAAACCCTGAATCAACTTGAGACTCTAGATATAATAAACAGTTTAGGCAGTTTACAGGAAGGAAATAAAGGAACAAGGTGAGCAATAACTCAAAAATGCAGTCATTCAAATCTAAAATGTAAGATATTCTACAAATGGAACATCTAGAAAAAGGCCTATACATATATGAAAATCTAATATATTGTAAAGGGAATATCATATCAGTGGGGAAAAAATAGACTTATAATTAATATTATTGTTAAAACTGGATAGCTAACTGGAAAACAAATTTGGATTCATTCCTCATACTATAAACCAGGATATAACAGGTCAGAGATCTAGTGTGGAAAATGAAACCATTTAGTATTAGAGTAATACATGAGTGATAAAATCTAGGAGTAAGGAGTACTTCAAAATATAGAAGAAATATAAGAAAATTACATTAAAATTTTTTTAAGATTACGACAGTAAGCCAGCATAGATACTTTGTTTCCACTTATGTAAAATGTCCAGAAAGGACAAATCTATAGAGACAAAGTAGATTAGTGGTTGCATAAGGGCTGCTGGTACAAGTGGGGAATGATTCTAAATTGGTATGATGGATAGTTTTGGTATGATAGAAATGTTTTAAAATTGGATTGTGGTAATGGTTGTACAACTCTGTAAATAAGTTTAAAAATATCTTGAGGAAGTATTTGGTCAAATCTAGGATGTAGGACATTTCACAGGACCAATGACCAGATTTCTCCAACAAATCAGTGACAAAACAGGTGAATTTTAATTTAGAACTTCTCTTAATCAAAAGACGTCATTAAGGGGCTTCCCTGCTGGTGCAGTGGTTGAGAATCTCCCTGCCAATGCAGGGGACACGGTTTCGAGCCCTGGTCTGGGAAGATCCCATATGCTGTGGAGCAACTAGGCCCGTGAGCCACAACTACTGAGCCTGCACGTCTGGAGCCTGTGCCCTGCAACAAGAGAGGACGCAATAGTGAAAGGCCCGCGCACCGCGATGAAGAGTGACCCTCGCACCACGATGAAGAGTGGCCCCCACTTGCCGCAACTAGAGAAAGCCCTCGCACGAAACGAAGACCCAACACAGCCAAAAAAAAAGGCATCATTAAAAGAGTGAAATGGCAACCCACTGACTAGAGAAAACATTCATAATACATATATCCAGAAAAGGGCTTATATCTAGAAATCATAAATAACTTCTACAACATTATAGAAAAATGGGCTGAAGATTTGCAAAGGTACTTCCAAAACAAGATAGCTAAATGGCCAATAAATATATACAGAGATTTGATTAGTCATCAGGGAAATACAGATTAAAACCACAGTGTGATAACTGATATGCACCCACTGCAACAGCTAAAATTTAAAAAACTGACAATATCAAGTATTGGGAAGGATATAAAGCAACCAGACCTCTCATACAGTACTGGTGGGAGTGTAAATTTTTTTTTTTTAATGCTGCTTATAAGAGGTTCACTTTATTTATTTTTTTATTGAAACATAGTTGATTTACAATGTTAATTTCTGCTGTACAGCAAAGAGATTCAGTTATACATATATATATGTATATTCTTTTTTTATATATTCTTTTCCATTATGGTTTATCATAGGATATTTATTTATTTATTTATTTTTGGCTGCGTTGGGTCTTTGTTGCTGCGTGTGGGCTTTCTCTAGTTGCGGTGCCTGGGCTTCTCATTGGGGTGGCTTCTCATTGCTGAGAATGGGCTCTAGGTGTGCGGGCTTCAGTAGTTGTGGCACGTGGGCTTAGTTGCTCCGTGGTATGTGGGATCCTTCCAGGCCAGGGATTGAACCCATGTCCCCTGCATTGGTAGGTGAATCCTTAACCACTGTGCCACCAGGGAGGTCCCTCTTCTGCCCTTTTTTTTTTTTTTTTTTTTGCATTTTTGAGTGTTTTATTTATATCAAATTGGATAAATTGTGTGTATTTCTCAGACAGAAAAGACATGTCGAGGTAGAAATGTACCTTTTAACTATTCATGGGTACACAAGTACACTGGGGAGATTGTAAAAGTGCAGATTCAGTAGGTCCAGTAGGCCTGAGTCCTATTTTTTGGGGGCGGGTGGAGTTTGAGTAATTTTTATTTAAAATTTTTATTTCCTTGTATCTTTTTTTTTTACTTCTTTATTAAGAGTATAATTGCTTTACAATGGTGTGTTAGTTTCTGCTTTATAACAAAGTGAATCAGTTATACATATACATATGTTCCCATATCTCTTCCCTCTTGCATCTCCCTCCCTCCCACCCTCCCTATCCCACCCCTCCAGGCGGTCACAAAGCACCGAGCTGACCTCCCTGTGCTATGCGGCTGCTTCCCACTAGCTATCT